CAGAGGTACCTATGGTAACTAACTGCCACCAATTTCCATAGGACTTGTGTCTATGAATGTCTGTGATGAGCTGAGCGTAAGTAAATTGGTGACGTTCTGGTCCTGAGAACAGCCACCTTGTTGCTGACACAGGTTCTTGCATCTGCAAGAAATTCAGCGTTGCTATCTGCGACACATATCTGAGTGTTGCCCGTGTTCTGAGGAGGGGGAATTTCTTTGAGCCATGTTAGATGCAGTTTGTCAATTGTATTATACATCAGGAACTGCAGCAAGGAACGAGACTTTCTGCAGAACAGAATAGCCCCAGCCAGCTCTATCTGGCTGAAAGTACTGCTCTAAAAAATAATAGGTCTGGCATAAAACAACTCTGAAACTATTGAGGATGTCTGCAATCATGGAAACGCTTCTTAGCAATGACCTCAGAAAATGAGAAAGTAGTGCTGAAAACAAGCATTGAGACATTGTGCTAGTGTAAATGTACCTAAACAGAGTGCCATGAAGGGGATTTAGAAACAAATTTGTACGTGAAACTAGAATTCCACTTTAAAAGCACCAGGCCTACAGGGAGCACTGTGTATAGTGAAATAGATGAGGTTTGAAAACCACCTCCTAGCCATCTCCCTGTCCGGGGACCTTTAGATAGCTAAGTAAAGAAAGATAACAGACTGCCACTAAGAGATACAGCAAAAGAACTAGTTACGTTCAAGCATACCCTTTTGTACAGTGCACAGCAGTGTCCTCCTAGAAGTGCAGGCAGACGTCAGTTCACTCTGCCTTTCAAACAGGTTTGTTAGCACTGGTCTGCCAGTTGTGCCAACGCTGACTACATGACTTCTTGGTTGGAGCTGGCTTGCACCCGGCTTGCTTGGAGCACAACTAAAGCGAGCTCAGGTCCACCTGAAAAGTACCACGTAGATAGACCCTCAAGTCTATCTATAAGTCAAATAAGGGGCAATGAGATCACAAAAGCAATAGGAAGCTTCAGGAACACATCTGGAAAAGCACTGCTTGGACTAAGCTGCAATATTAAAAGGTTCAAAGTAATCAAAAAAAACCCAAACCTAAAAAAACCCCAACGAAGCCAAAACCCCAAACCCAGCAAGCAGAAGCTCAGTAGAATAGGTCTGTGGAGCACTGTTTTATGGGCACCCTTCAGAGACAGTACAAAAGAACTGGTAAGTGACTGGTAAGTGACTCTGTG